TATAGTATTGTTTAGTGTAGTGTAGTGTTGTTTAGTGTTGTGTTTAGTGTAGTGTTTAGTGGAGTGTAGTGTAGTGTTTAGTGTAGTGTACTGTTGTTTAATGTAGTGTAGTGTATTGTAGTGTTGTTTAGTGTAGTGTATTGTTCTTTAGTGTAGTCTTGTTAAGTGTAGTGTAGTGTTGTTTAGTGTAGTGTAGTGTTGTTTAGTGTAGTGTAGTCTAGTTTAGTGTAGTGTAGTGTTGTGTAGTGTAGTGTAGTTTTGTTTAGTGTAGTGTAGTGTTGTTTAGTGTAGTGTGATGTTTAGTGTAGTGTAGTGTTGTTTAGTGCAGTGTAGTGTTGTTTGATGTAGTGTAGTGTTGTTTGGTGTAGTGTAGTGTTGTTTGGTGTAGTATATTGTTTGGTGTAGTGTAGTGCTGTTTAGTGTAGTGTTGTACAGTATAATGTAGTGTTTAGTGTAGTGTACTGTTGTTTATTGTAGTGTAATGTTGTTTAGTGTAGTGTAGTGTGTTTAGTGTAGTGTGTTTAGTGTATTGTTTAGTGTAGTGTAGTGGTGTTTAGTGTTGTGTTCTTTAGTGTAGTGTTTTGTAGTGTAGTGTTGTGTATTGTAGTGTTGTGTAGTGTTGTTTAGTGTAGTGTTGTTTAGTGTAGTGTAGTGTTGTGTATTGTAGTGTTGTTTAGTGTAGTGTAGTGTTTTATGTAGTATAGTGTAATGTAATATTTAATGTAATGTAATATTTAATGTAATGTAATATTTAATGTACTGTTGTTTAGTGTAGTGTTTTTTAGTGTTTAGTGTTGTGTTGTTTAGTATGGTGTTTAGTTTAGTTTGTTTAGTGTAGTGTTGTTTAGTGTTGTGTTTACCATAGTGCTGTTTATTGGAGTGTAGTGTTGTGTTGTATAGTGTAGTGTGGTATTGTTTAGTTTAGTTTAGTGTTGTTTCGTGTAGTGTGTGAGTGTTTGTGTAGTGTAGTGTTGTTTAGTGTAGTGCAGTGTTGTTTAGTGTAGTGTGGTGTTTAGTGTAGTGTTTGGTGTAGTGTAGTGTTTGGTGTAGTGTAGTGTTCTTTAGTGTAGTGTATTGTTGTTTCATGTAGTGTAGGCTTGTTAAGTGAAGTGTAGTGTTTGTGTAGTATTGTTTAGTGTAGTGTTGTTTAGTGTAGTGTAGTCTCGTTTAGTGTAGTGTAGTCTCGTTTAGTGTAGTGTCGTGCTTAGTGTAGTGAAGTGTTGTTTAGTGTAGTGTAGGCTTGTTTAGTTTACTGTAGTGTAATGTTGTGTAGTGTAGTTTTGTTTAGTGTAGTGTTGTTTATTGTAGTGTTTTTTAGTGTTTAGTGTTGTGTTGTTTAGTTTGTGTTGTTTTGTTTAGTGTAGTTTTTAGTGTAGTGTAGTGTTTGGTGTAGTGTAGTGTTTGGTGTAGTGTAGTGTTGTTTTGTGTAGTGTATTGTTCTTTAGTGTAGTGTATTGTTCTTTAGTGTAGTGTTGTACAGTGTAGTGTTGTACAGTGTAGTGTAATATTGTTTAGCATTTAGTGTAGTGTTGTTTATTGTAGTGTAATATTTAGTGTAGTGTTTAGTGTAGTGTTCATTGTATTGTAGTGTTGTTTAGTGTATTGTTTAGTGTAGTTTTGTTTAGTGTAGTGGTGTTTAGTGTAGTGTAGTGTTTAGTGTAGTGTTGTGTAGTGTAGTGGTGTTTAGTGTATTGTTGTTTTAGTGTAGAGTTGTTTAGTGTAGTGTAGTGTTTTGTGTAGTTTAGTGTTTAGTGTAGTGTGGTAGTGTTTAGTGTAGTGTTTTGTGTAGTATAGTGTATTGTTATTTAGTGAAATGTAGTGTTTAATGTACTGTTGTTTAGTGTAGTGTATTGTTCTTTAGTGCAGTGTTATTTTAGTGTTTAGTGTTGTGTTGTTTAGTATAGTGTTGTTTAATGTAGTTTGTTTAGTGTAGTGTTGTTTACTGTAGTGTAGTGTTCTTTAGTGTTGTGTTTACCTGGAGTTTACCTGGAGAGAGTTCCGGGGCTCAACGCCCCCGCGGCCCGGTCTGTAACCAGGCCTCCTGGTGGATCAGAGCCTGATCAACCAGGCTGTTACTGCTGGCTGCACACAAACCAACGTATGAGCCACAGCCCGGCTGGTCAGGAACCGACTTTAGGTGCTTGTCCAGTGCCAGCTTGAAGACTGCCAGGGGTCTGTTGAAGACTGCCAGTGTGGTGTTGTTTAGTGTAGTGTTCGTGTAATGTAGTGTTGTTTAGGGCAGTGTAGTGTTGTTTAGTGTAGTGCAGTGTTGTTTAGTGTAGTGTGGTGTTGTTTAGTGTAGTGTGGTGTTGTTTAGTGTAGTATAGTGTTGTTTAGTGTAGTGTTGTTTGGTGTAGTGTTTGTGTTTGGTGTAATGTAGTGTTGTTTAGTGTAGTGTATTGTTCTTTAGTGTAGTGTAGTGTAGTCATGTTTAGTGTAGTGTAGTCTTGTTTAGTGTAGTGTTTTTAGTGTAGTGTTGTTTCATGTAGTGTAGTCATGTTTATTGTGTTGTTGTTTTGTGTAGTGTATATTTGTAGTATACGTAGAGAGAGTTCCGGGGTTCAACGCCCCCACAGCCCTGTCTGTGACCAGGCCTCATGGTGTGTCAGGGCCTGATCAACCAGGCTGTTGCTGTTGGCCACACATAATCCAACATATGAACCACAGCCTGGCAGGTCAAGTACTGACTTTAGGTGCCTGTCTAGTGCCTGCTTGAAGACAGCCAGAGTTCTGTTGGTAATATCCTTTATGTATGCTGGGAGGCAGTTGAACAGTTTTGGGCCCCTGACACTTATTGTGTTGTCTCTTATCGTGCTAGTGGCACCCCTGCTTTTCAGTGGGGCAGTGGCGTCGCTAGGTTGGTGTCACCCGGGGCAGAATCTTTGGTGTCACCCCCATGAAGTCCAGGGCAGGGGGATGGGGAAATTAAACTCCAGTTACATCACTACTGCATGACCAGTGACTAATGTTTAGCAATGAGAATGTTTAACCCTTTGGGGGTTTTGGCCGTACTAGTACAGCTTATGCCCCAGGATTTTTGACGTACTAGTACACCTAAATTTTAGCACCCTCAAATCTAGTGAGAGAAAGCTGGTAGGCCTACATATGAAAGAATGGGTCTGTGGTCAGTGTGCGCAGTATAAAAAAAATCCTGTAGCACACAGTGCGTAATGAGAAAAAAAAAACTTTGACCGTGTTTTTGGATTAAAACAGCGACTTTGCATTGTATTTTCATATGGTATTTATTGTTGTATTCTAGTTTTCTTGGTCTCATTTTATAGAATAGAAGACACATGACATAAATTGAGATGATTTTGACTGGTTTTACAATGAAAAGTACCTTGAAATTGAGCTCAAATTAGCAGAAATGTTCGATTTTTACCAAAGTTCAAAAGTAAACAAATCATGCTAAACGTCAATACACGTCAACTGGTGAGTCTAATATTCTTTCACAAGTGCGCCAATATTATTTATACCATTTCTACACTAATGCAGTAGTCTGCATAACAGTAAATCTTATTTTTTTTTTTTTTGTGAGAATAAAAAATCAAAGTGAAAAGCAAAAGAAATGTAAGAGGGGCTGGGGACGCGACTAATGAACAGAGGAAATGTTATTTTAGTGCCAGGAATGTCTTTCTTGTTTATTCTGGGCCCTATTTGGAAATTGGCATCTCTTGAAATTTGTGTGAAATTGGCAAAATTGCTAAATTCTGACCACTTTATTGGATAGTTGAAATCGGTAAATGGGTGGTTTCTTGTACTCATTCGATAGAAAAATGGAGCTCTAGCGAAATAGTTATGATTTTTGTCGACTAGTGTGCTGGAATTGGCCGAAAATAGGGCTCAAAGTGGGCAAAATCGCCGATGCATAAACATTGTCAATACCGCTAACTTCGCGAGAATATAATTCCATAAGTTTTCATCAAATTTCATACTTTTGGTGTCATTATGATCGGGAAAAGATTCTCTATCTTTTCTTAGGAAAAAATAATTTTTTTTTTTTTTTTTTTTTTTTTTTTTGAAATTTTGGCGACACTGAGAACAAGTCTCTGAGAGGGCCTGGCGACCCCCAAAGGGTTAAGGACCTTGAACCGAACAGGAGAATACTTCTCAACTTTATTAATGGTAGAATGAATAATCATATTAATACAGTATTTAGGAAACATAAACTCAAATACCACTTTGAGTACAGCCAACAGATCCTACATTTATTCATCTTCTATAATGCAAAAAAAAAAAAAAAAGAAAATCTGGAAAAATAAAGAAAAACATTGCAATATCAGAGAAACACTAGTTCTGATTTGACCTTGAGTACAGGTAACATCTCAGTGAATCTGATCTACATTTCTTTGCCTTCAGTCCTGCAAAATCATCTATCACAGTATCAAAATCAATGATTTTCTCTATATAGGCTTATTTGTACTCTGTAATCATATACATAATAGGCTATATAGAAACGAAGGATTTTTCTCTTATGTTGCTGCAACACTGTTTTGTGTATTAGTATCACCTTTAGGGGCTCTATGGTGTTACCCCTTAAATAGTGTCACCCGGGGCAGCCCGCTCCCCTTACAGTGCCACTGCTACATATTTTAGTAAAAGCTTTCTGTAGTAGGAGCTTGATATTAACAATTGTTCCATTAACCTTAATCTTTTTGATGATGGAAACCATTCAGTCAGACTTATCTTATCATGAAAGTATCATATGTATAAGATATACTAATGACTAAACCTGCTGGCTTGCATTTGCCAAGTTTGTATATCATTTGATTTAAAAATGTGAGGCTACTAGTTTGGTCCTAATATTTCCTACTCAATTTCTAAACTATGAACAAGAGTTAAAGTATATATGTGTTCAATACTGAAGAAATGATGAACAAAGGTTTCACGGAACAGTTGTAAAGTCTTTGTTTTTTTACTTCTGTACATAGCACTTGTGCCTCTTTCTGAAGGCGAATATTATTATTTTTCTTAATTAAAACTTATAATTCTTCTTGCAGCATGGGCCTAGTGATTTCCTTCGAATCAGTCCTGTGAAGACAGAGGTGGTACACATTGACCCAACTGTGTCTATATACTATGATATTCTCAGTGACAAGGAAATTGCTGTTATTAAAGAACTGGCAACACCCATGGTAAGTACTTTGTTCTTTAGTTTTATGTTAATTTATTCATGATCCAAAAGGAAAAAAAACTATTTAAACATTGATATCCTCTTAACATAGCTCTTCTCATGTAGTTGTATGAACCATCTGGTAAGAAAAGTCATCTTTGTATTGTCTCTGGCCAGTTTTGATAGTTTTCTGCTCACTTTAGCCTGAAGCCAAGTTCCCCAATGACACCCTTATCAGCCAGACTATTGTTGCTTATGGTTTATAAGCAACAGTGGCCATTATATCAAGGTACCTTCTGCAGTAATCTAAGTTGTCTTGAAGGCCTTTACCTCTCTATTAACACTCCAGGTTCTGAGTTTACTAATAACCTGCTTTATTCAAGCTTGTGCTTAGTGGGCAGTGCTCTTGTCACCCCTTCTTGAGATAATCTCTAAATTGCATTTGCATTGAGAACTGCAGTATTGTCTTGTATCATAGCATTCCATATGATACCTTCAAAAATCATTAACTGATACTCTAGTTCCAAATGGCAGACTGCTGGCAATAATGAAGAAAAGATACATTGCAGAACAAGCTTTTATTGAGGCAGTGTTTTGCTTTGTGTAGAGCTTTATGCAGCTCTGCTTAGCAAAAATACTCTAATTGTTCTGCAATGTGTGTCTTGTTTTCTGCTGATACTAATTTACTTTTATAATTCCTTCTTTTCTTTCAACACACCGGCCGTATCCCACCGAGGCGGGGTGACCCAAAAGGAAAAGCGAAAGTTTCTCCTTTTACATTTAGTAATATATACAGGAGAAGAGGTTACTAGCCCCTTGCTCCCGGCATTTTAGTCGCCTCTTACAACACGCATGGCTTATGGAGGAAGAATTCTGTTCCACTTCCCCATGGAGGTAAGAGGAAATAAATAAGAATAAGAACTAGAAAGAAAATAGAAGAAAACCTAAAGGGGTATGTATATATATGCTTGTACGTGTATGTGTAGTGTGACCTAAGTGTAAGTAGAAGTAGCAAGACATACCTGAAATCTTGCATGTTCATGAGACAGACAAAAGGACACCAGCAATACTACCATCATGTAAAACAATTACAGGCTTTCGTTTTACACTCACTTGGCAGGACGGTAGTACCTCCCTGGGCGGTTGCTGTCTACCAACCTACTACCTATATACTTTTATAATTGCTGTCTAATATTCTTTGAGTGTACCGTGTTGGCAAAAATGAATGCATAAATTTAAGTGCATTTAAGAGGTAAAAGTAGTAACTATTATTTTTCTGGAGAATAAAGTAAGTAGCTTTGCTTTTTTTCATGGTACTAACAAGTTTCTCTATGATTTTTGTGCTTCCGCAGTTCATTTCATGTTGTGCAGTGTTTGTGGTAGCCATTATTTATGTTGCACTTAATAGAATGTTCTATGTTGAGATTTTAACTCTAACAACTAAACAACTATAACAGCTGAAAAAGGTATCTATGTAGACCTGCAAGATTGAAGGTAGAAGGTGTTGAGCATCATGGTGGAATAAAGAATTAATATTTTTAAGTAAAATTTGATACTTCCAGTTGTATTTATCGAAAGTGGAAAAGAGAGAAATATAAGAGGTTTATTAAAAATAGTTAAGGAAATGATAAAATTGAAGAGGCAAATATAGTTGATGAGTAGGACCTGCCTCTGTTGGACCTGCCTAGCATGGGCCAGTAGCCCTACCACAGTGCTGCTCCTTTCTTATGTTCCTTGTTCTTATACTGGTATATTAAAATAGAATAAAACTGTTTATTCTTAAAGAAAAGAAAAATGCATAACAATTATTATAACAGAAGATGCTGGGGAGTCATGACAAGCAAGTTAGTACTTGGAATATAGGCAGTAGGCCAACCTGGAGACTTTAAGGGCTTCAAACAAGCCAGAAATGTCTATTGTATACAAATGTAAGAAGGGAGGAAATACATAATTTTGAAAAAGAAAAAGTTATGTGCACTTCTAATTAGCCTTTAAATTGAGCTGCATATTTCTTTCCTTATTGGCAGATAGGTCTATTAAAGATGAAGTGAACAGTAGAATAGATGGGAGGAAAAAGGTGGGTGGTGCATTGAGGCATCTGTGGAAAGATGGAAGCTTATCTGTAGAGGCAGAACAAGAAATGTAGTAGAGTAGTATAGTATAGTAGAGTATAGACATGTACTAGAGTATAGTATGGGTGTGAGGCATGTGCTTTAAACATTGCAGTGAGGATGAGGCTAGAGGCAGTGGAGATGTCATGTTTAGAGCAATGTGTGTTGTGAATATTATGTAGAGAATTCAGAACATAGGAATTATAAGATAGTGTGAGATTGCCATACGTATACTTCAGAGGATGGAGGAAGGGTTGTTAAGGGGATTTTGGCATTTATTTATTTATTTATTTAGTAATTTGAGCATACATACAGAGGTACAAAAAAATACAGGTAAGAGCAGCATGCCAAAGCCACTTATATGCATAGCATTACAGGCTGGCTTACAATTAACTTAAGATTAACTAAGCAATGATGAAATCAGTGATAAGACATTATTGTAAACAGATAACTATAAAGCACAAATGAGTATTACAAAGACAGGTCATATGGTTGCATGCATTGCTGTACATTCAGTCGAATGGAGTATTCTGTTAGATTGGGTTTTAGGTGTAACATTTATGTGATATAATTGTGAGAAACATGTAAGATATACAATTTATAAGGTTCAGTTATTCAGTATTTATTTGGTTTTGGGTGAGTAAGTGATCTTTGAGAAGAGACTTGAATTTATAAACAGGTAGTGTTTCTTTTATATTTACAGGTAATGAATTCCAGATTTTAGGGCCTTTTATGTGCATTGAGTTTTTGCATAGCGTGAGATGGACACGAGGAACATCAAAGAGTGATCTGTGCCTTGTGTTATGGTCATGTGTTCTGTTGAGGTTGGCAAGGAGATGTTTGAGGGGAGGGTTAATATCAGAGTTAAGTGTTCTATGTATGTAATAGGTGCAATAATAAGTATGGATGTTTTGTATGGTGAGTAGGTTGAGTGTTTTGAATATTGGTGGAGTGTGCTGCCTGTAGTGAGAATTTGTTATCATTCTAACTGCAGCCTTTTGTTGGGTAATTAGTGGTCTGAGATGGTTAATTGTTGTTGAGCCCCATGCACAAATTCCATAGGTGAGATAGGGGTAAATAAGAGAGTGATATAGGGCCAGGATGGAGCAGAATAAGATGAGTAAGAAATAAAAATTGTATTGTATCGCCCAGCAGGCTCGTGTAAACATGTTAGATCGAAGTGAGTAGAGACAAGTGGATTTTATGGCTTGACATACTGAAGGAATACAGGGGAAACTCATTAATTGGACTTTAAGCCTGGAGGTGGAAAATGAGTGCTTACATTCTGAAGGAGGGAAGATGATAGTGCAGTTCAGAGGATCACTTGAATTGTGATGTCTGCATACTTATGGCAAGACAGCTGTTGAATTAAAGATGGTGAATGTATTTCCTTTTTTTGACCACCGTACCTTGGTGAGAGATGGCTTTTGTGGTTATAAAATAAAAATTATGCAAAGCACAGAGAAAAAAGTACATTGAATTGATATTGTATATTACAGTTTAAAAGGGCAACTGTCCAGAATTACAAGACTGGTGAACTTGAAACTGCATCTTACCGTATCAGCAAATCATCTTGGCTGAAGCATGGAGATCACAAGGTAGTAGCAGGAGTCAATCATCGTATTGAAAGTATAACAGGTAAGTGTAATTAAGGAAGATTGAATTCTTAATTTTACAGTCATACAGTTGAAGCTTAAAATTTTTGGGGTGGATGATGTCAGCAGATGAGGCTGAATAACAAGGATTGGATGTTGTAAACAGACGGGTTGATGAATAATGAGGTGTGGCATGGGTATTGTCAACAGGTGGGTCTATGAATGATGAGGGAGCAAATGTTGATGAGTGTGCCTATGATTGAGAAGAGAGTGGATGATGTCACCAGATAGATCAGTGAATGACAAATAATGACCCCAAAGTGCAAAAGCAGAGAAGGTGGTAGTTCTTCAAATAGTAAGAGAAGCTGTGAAGTACTTTCCATTAGTGAAAAAGTGATAATTCTCCACTTATTGTGCATAATTTATAAATTAAACTTTATGGTAGGTATGTATAGGACTTGTATATAGGATTTACTACTATCCACAGTTTTGGTATCTGTGGCAGGTCCTTGGAACGTATCCCCCCACAGATACAGGGGTCCTACTGAAATGTAGCCAAGCATATTATAATGGTAGTGTCAGCACTTTTGTATTGGTGTGAGGTAAGGTCCTAGAACATTGCAGCAAGGAGGATGCTGGAGACATCAGAGATGTGTTTGAGATAAGAACATGAGAATGGAGGAACACTGCAGAAGGTCTACTGGCCCATACATGGCAGGTCCTTATCAAAACGACTGCTACCCAAGAATTAACTCCCGTACCCAATGACACCAATCAAACCCAGCCCCTCCCACTCATATATTTGTCCAGCCTCTCCATAAAGCTACCCAAGGTCCTAGCCTTGATCACCCTACTGGGAAGATTGTTCCACGCATCCACAACTCTGTTAAAAAACCAGTACTTACCTATGTCCTTTCTAAATCTAAATTTATCCAACTTAAATCCATTATTTCTGGTTCTTACCTGGTTCGACACCCTCAGTACTTTATTAATATCTAACTAACAAAAAAAAGGCATAACACCGTGACTGGAATGATACACAAATAACCCGCACATAAAAGAGAGAAGCTTACGGCGACGTTTCGGTCCGACTTGGACCATTTACAGAGTCACACTAACCAGAAGTGGAGCAGGATGGCTATATATAGGCAGGAAGAGGTAGTGGTAGTAGTAGTAGTAGTACAAGAATGGTATATAATACCGACAAGATGAAATTAAGACACATGCGCAACACCCGGGCATCCCCATCGTAGACATTTCGCCATCCAGCAAGCCACTGGAGGGCGAAACGTCCACAACAAAGACACCCAGACGCCGCACATGTGTCTTAATCTCATCAGTAGTAGTAGTAGTGGTAGTAGTAGAAGAGGTAGTAGTAGTGGTAGTGGTAGAAGTGGAGAATAAGGAGGACGAGCCAGTCAAATACAATGGGAGCACCGCAAGAGAGCTAGGTGCCCACAGAGGGAGAGCAAGCGCACAGAGGTGCGTGAAAGGGAAAGTGGTGAAATAAATGAAGAAGGAACGGAAACACGAGACAGAAGAGAGAAAGACAACCCAGAGGAGAAAAAGGAAAGAGGAAAGGGGAAGAGGGAGAAGAAGAAAAAGAAAAAGAAAAAATGAGGAGTCAGGTTAAGTCATGGGTGTTGTGAAGACACATGTGCGGCGTCTGGGTGTCTTCGTTGTGGACGTTTCACCCTCCAGTGGCTTGCTGGATGGCGAAACGTCTACGATGGGGATGCCCGGGTGTTGCATATGTGTCTTAATTTCATCTTGTCGGTATTATATACCATTCTTGTACTACTACTACTACTACTACCACCACCACCTCTTCCTGCCTATATATAGCTGTCCTGCTCCACTTCTGGTTAGTGCGACTTTGTAAATGGTCCAAGTCGGACCGAAACGTCGTTGTAAGCTTCTCTCTTTTATGTGCGGGTTATTTGTGTATTTATTAATATCTCCTTTGTTTATGCCCATCATCCACTTATACACTTCAATGATATCTCCCCTCATTCTACATCTCTCCAGAGAGTGGAGATTTAAGGCTTTAAGTCTATCTTCATACGGGAGATTCCTTACACAGTATATCATTTTAGTCATTCTTCTCTGTATGTTCTCTAATGAGTCTATATCCATCCTGCAGTAAGGGGACCAAAACTGAGCAGCATAATCTAAATGAGGCCTCACTAGTGATGTATAGAGCTGTAAAATAACTTTTGGACTTCTGTTTCTTATACTCCTTGAGATAAATCCAGGTAATCTGTTAGCCTTGTTGTGCACACTTCAGCACTGCTGTCTTGGCTTTAGGTTTCTGCTTACCATGACTCCCAAGTCTTTTTCACATTCTGTATGATCAAGCTGTACTTCACCTAGTTTATAGCCTCGAGGGTTATTTTCATTACCAAGGGCAAGTACCTTACACTTATCCACATTGAACTTCATCTGCCATTTTTCAGACCAAGATATTAATTTGTCCAAATCCCCCTGGAGTTCATTGCTGTCCTCCTCAGAATTAATCACACGGCCTATCTTTGTATCATCAGCAAATTTGCTCGTCACTTGTAATCCCTTCATCAAGGTCATTAATGTAAATTATGAACAAGAGAGGGCCTAAAACTGATCCTTGTGGAACGCCACTAGTGACTAATCCTCATTCAGATTTAACTCCATTAATCGAAACTCTCTGCTTTCTATTGGTAAGCCATGCCTCTATCCATGCTAGAACTTTACCTCCTATACCATGAGCTGCCACTTTTCTTAAGAGTCTCTTGTGAGGTACTCTATCGAACGCTTTACTAAAATCCAAAGAAATAATATCATATTCTTTATCACTGTCTACTGCCTCAAATGTTCTATTGAAGAATGTCAGTAAATTTGTCAGGCAGGAACGACCTCTCGTGAACCCATGCTGAGATTCATTAATCAAGTTATACTCTTCAAGGTGACTTCTAATAATGTCATCTATAATTGATTCTAGTAACTTGCCCACTATAGATGTCAGGCTTATTGGACAGTAATTTGAAGGAACGGACTTATCCCCTGATTTGAATATAGAAACCACATTAGCCAGCTTCCACTACTCTGGCACAACACCAGTAAGGATGGACGCATTAAACACACTTGTTAATGGCTGACTAAGTTCCATCTTGCAATCCTTAAGTACCCTGGAAAACAACTCGTTGGGCCCCGGGGACTTACTTTGCTTCAGTTTGTCTATCTGTTTGATAACCATGTCCCTCGTGACAGTAATATTAGTCAATTTGAATTCGTCAGGAACTGAGTAATTGTTAATTTCTTGAATCTCATTTATGTCTTCCTGTGTAAAAACTGATGAAAACTAGTCATTAAATATGGAACACATTTCCAGTTCGTTATCCATCAGCTGTCCATTCCCAGTTGTCAGAGGTCCTACTTTTTCCTTAACCTTCGTCCAGTGCACTTGAAAGAACCCCTTTGGATTGGTCTTTGATTCATTAGCAACTCTAATTTCATAGTCACATTTAGCCTTTCTAATCCCCCTTTTTACTTCTCTTTTAAGCTGAACATATTGGTCAGTAAGGTTAACCTCTCCTCTTCTGATGCACCTATAAATTCCCCTTTTCTCCCCTAATAGATGCTTTAGCCTCCTGTTAACCCATTTGGGATAATTATTATTAGACCTAATTTCTCTCTGGGGATTGTATATACTCTGAGCACGGTGTACATTATTAAGAAAAAATCATAAATGGAGATCCCTTCGTAATCATAAGTATGATTACATAAGAAAGGAGGAACACTGCAGTAGGCCTGTTGGCCCATACTAGGCAGGTCCTTCACAGATCCAACCCAATAACAGAATAAATGTACCCAAGCAGTAAGCATTGACAGTTCTATTACTCATCTTGACTGTGTGCTAATGGAGTTACAGGAAGCTGACATCGAAGAAATGCTGAACATTGACAATGATGCACCTATTGTGCATTCCTTAAGTGATGGTGAAATTAGATGAATTGTGATGTATAAATAAGCCGTAGAGTTGATATTAGCTCAAATCATAGGGCTTCACAAAGCTGGAATGGATTAATGCCATTTCAGTTAATTTAAATGAGGAAAATTGACTCGGCATACAAACAAATCAGGATACGAACAAGGCTGCGGAAAGGATTAAATTCATAAGCCGAGGTTCCACTGTATTAGCTTGATAATAATTAGTTAAAGAGTAAGATGGTATGATGGTATGACAGGTGTAATTTGGGGAGCAGATGTTGGGTTTTTTAAATGGTTTACTCATTTTGAACGGATAGCTGGCTAGGCTGACCAGGAAGGTGTATAAATTTGGGGTGGAAAGAAGACAGGATAGGGATGTCCAGGGATAGGTTGGAGAGACAGGATGAAGGAGGTTTTGAGAGATAGTGGCTTGACCATACAACAGGTGGTTGTGAGTATGTTAAATTCAAGTCATTGAAGTAGACTGTTTTTTTGTTATTTAAAGTATTCTTGGACTGTGAGCAGATTAATGTTTATGAAGATGGGCTTAGAGAACACTTATCATCTGTTGACTGGGGTAACGAAGAGAGCTATCAGTATGACAGTTTTCTGAACCCTATACGTACATGCTGCCCAAAGAACATTTATCCTGTATAAAGAAATTAGATCAAATAGAAATAATCTAAAATGGATGAATAATAGGCTCAAATATCTTTTAGGGCAGAAGAAAGGAATTTATAGGCGTATCAAAAGAGGTGAGGGTCATCTTATGAATCAGTATATTGACATTAAGAGGGATGTTAAAAAGGGGGATAAGAAAAGCTAAACGGGACTATGAAATTAAAGTTGCTAGGGATCCGAAAACTAACCCAAAAAAGTTTTTTCGAGGTGTATAGAACAGAAGTTAGAGATAAGATAGGTCCCCTTAAAAATAATTATGGGCATCTTACTGACAAAGAGAATGAAATGTGCTCGATTTTAAATAATTATTTTCTCTCATTTTTTTACACAGGAAGACACTTACAATATCCCAGTAATTAATTTTTATAGTGGACCTGAAGAAGATAAATTATGTAACATCACAGTCACTAGTGAAATGGTTATGAAACAAATAGACCGACAGAAGCAAAATAAGTCATTGGAACCTGATGAGCTTTTTTCAAGAGTTCTTCAGGAATGCAAAATGGAACTCTGTGAACCATTAACTAATATTTTTAATTTATCTCTTCAGACAGGTGTAGTGTCTGATATGTGGAAGATGGCTAATGTAATTCCTATTTTTAAAGCTGGAGACAAGTCGTTACCGTCAAATTACAGCCCAATAAGCCTGACCTCAATTGTAGGCAAATTACTAGAGTCAATTATAGCTTAGATTATAAGAAGCCATCTAGTTAAGCATAATCTGATTAATGTTACTCAGCATGGATTCACGAGAGGCTGTTCTTGTCTAACTAATTTATTAACTTTCTTCACTAAAGCTTTTGAGACTGTTGATCACAATAAAGAATTTTATATTATTTACTTAGATTTTAGCAAGGCTTTTGATAGAGTACCGGACCAGAGACTGTTAAAGAAAGTGGCAGCTCATGGCATTGGGGAAAAAGTGCTCTCATGGATTGAGTCATGGCTCACAGACAGGAAGCAGAGAGTGTCCATAAATGGGGTTAAATCCGAGTGGGGATCTGTAACAAGTGGCGTTCCACAGGGATCAGTCTTGGGCCCGTTGTTGTTTATAACATATATCAATGATCGTGATGAGGGAATTACTAGTGAAATGAGCAAATTCGCCGATGACACAAAGATCGGTAGGATAATTGATTCGAACGTAGATATCAGGAAACTTCAGGAAGATTTAGACAAACTCAGTACCTGGTCAGAAAAGTGGCAGATGCAGTTCAATGTAGATAAATGCAAGGATCTGAAGCTCGGAAGTGTCCATAACCCTAGCACTTATAAGTTAAATAATGTAGAACTTAGCCATACAGATTGCAAAAAGGCTTTGGGGGTTATGATAAGCAATAACCTTAAACCAAGACAGCAATGCTTAAGTGCATGTAATAAGGCAAACAGATTACTGGGATTTATATCAAGAAGTGTAAGCAACAGAAGTTCATTGGTTATACAGTGGACCCCCGCCTTACGATATTAATCCGTTCCTGAGAACTCATCGTATGCCGAAATTATCGTAAGGTGAATTAATTTTCCCCATAAGAAATAATGGAAATCAAATTAATCCGTTCCTGACACCCTAAAGTATGAAAAAATAATTTTTTTTTACGACATGAAATATTAATTTTAATACACACAAACTGACACTTACCTTTATTGAAGATCTGGTGATGATTGATGGGATGGGAGAAGGGGAGAGCGTGGAATTTGTTAATGTTTAGAAGGGTAATCCTTTTCCATTAGGACTTCAGGTAGCAAGTCCTTTTCTGGGGTTACTTCCCTTCTTCTTTTAATGCCAATAGGACCAGCTTGAGAGTCACTGGACCTCTGTTGCACAACATATCTATCCATAGAGCTCTGTACCTCTTGTTCCTTTATAATTTGTCTAAAGTGGTTCACAACATTGTCGTTGTAATAGTCACCAACATGGCTTGCAATAGCTGTGTGAAGGTGATTTTCATCCATAAAGGTTTGCACTTCAAGCCACTTTGCACACATTTCCTTAATCTTTGAAGTAGGCAACTTCTTCAATTTCTCTCTCCCCTCCTCCGAAGCAGTTTCCTCAGGTCTGGCCTCTTGCTGTTGAAGATGATCTTGCAGCTCATCAGTGGTTAGTTCTTCATTGTCCTCCTCCACCAACTCTTCCACATCCTCCCCAGTAACCTCCAACCCCAAGGACTTCCCCAATGCCACACTTGATTCCATAACTGGCATACACTTCTCAGGGTTAGCCTCAAACCCTTCAAAATCCCTTTTGTCTACACACTCTGGCCACAGTTTCTTCCAAGCAGAGTTCAAGGTCCTCTTAGTCACTCCCTCCCAAGCCTTACCTATAAGGTTTACACAACTGAGGATACTAAAGTGATCTTTCCAAAACTCTCTTAGAGTCAATCGAGTGTCTGAGGTCACTTCAAAGCACTTTTGAAACATAGCTTTTGTGTAGAGTTTTTTTGAAGTTTGAAATGACCTGCTGGTCTATGGGCTGCAGGAGAGGAGTGGTATTAAAGAGGCAAAAACTTGACCTTAATGAAGCTCATGTCCCCAGAAAGTCGCTCTGCCAAGTCTGAAGGATGACCGGGAGCATTGTCTAATACCAGGAGGTACTTAAGGTCCAATTTATTTTCCAGGAGGTAATTTTTCACAGTGGGGGCAAATGCATGGTGTAACCAGTCATAGAAAAACTCCCTAGTGACCCATGCCTTAGTGTTTGCCCTCCACAGCACACACAAATTAGCCTTGAGGACATCGTTTTGCCTGAATGCTCTGGGAGTTTCATAGTGATACACCAATAAAGGCTTCACTTTGCAATCACCACAAGCATTAGCACACATCAAGAGAGTAAGCCTGTCTTTCATAGGCTTATGTCCTGGGAATGCCTTTTCCTCCTGAGTAATGTAGGTCGTGTTTGGCATTTCTGTTTGGCATGTTCTTATGTTAACATAAGAATATAAGAGAGGAGGAACACTGCAGCAGACCTGTTGGCCCATACTAGGCAGGTCCTTTACAATCAATCCCACTAACAAAACATTTACCCAACCATATTTTCAAAACTACCCAAGAAATAAGCTTTGATAACTCTATCCACCCATATGCAAGTCCCACTCAAATCCAACCCCTCTCACACATGCATCTATCCAACCTAAATTTGAAACTACCCAAGGTCTTAGCCTCAATAACCCAACTAGGTAGACTGTTCCACTCATCAACTACCCTATTTCCAAACCAATACTTTCCTATGTCCTTTCTAAATCTAAACTTGTCTAATTTAAATCCATTACTGCGGGTTCTCTCTTGGAGAGATATCCTCAAGACCTTATTAATATCCCCTTTATTAATACCCATCTTCCACTTATACGCTTCGATCATGCCTCTCCTCATTCCTCGTCTAACAAGTGAATGTAATTTAAGGGTCTTCAATCTCTCTTCATAGGTAAGATTTCTAATGCTATGTATTAATTTAGTCATTCTACGCTGAATGTTTTCTAACGAATTTATGTCCATTCTGTAATATGGAGACCAGAACTGAGCTGCATAATTTAGGTGAGGCCTTACTAATGATGTATAAAGCTGTAATATAACCGCTGAACTTCTGTTGCTTACACTTCTTGATATAAATCCCAGTAATCTGTTTGCCTTATTACGTACGCTTAAGGATTGCTCTCTTGGTTTTAGGTTGCTGCTTATCATAACCCCCAAGTCCTTTTTGCAATCTGTATGGCTAAGTTCTACATTATTTAACTTATAAGTGCTAGGGTTGTGGGCACTCCCGAGCTTCAGAACCTTGCATTTATCTACATTGAACTGCATCTGCCACTTCTCTGACCAGGTATTGAGTTTGTCTAAATCCTCCTGAAGTTCCCTGATATCTACGTTTGAATGAATTATCCTACCTATCTCTGTGTCATCAGCGAATTTGCTCATTTCACTAGTAATTCCCTCATCAAGATCATTGATATATATTATAAACAACAACAGGCCCAAGACTGATCCCTGTGGAATTCCACTTGTTACAGATCCCCACTCGGATTTAACCCCATTTATGGACACTGCTTCCTGTCTGTGAGCCATGACTCGATCCGTGAGAGCACTTTTCCCTGAATGCCATGAGCTGCCACTTTCTTTAACAGTCTTTGGTGCGGAACTCTATCAAAAGCCTTACTAAAATCTAAGTAAATAATATCAAATTCTTTATTGTGATCAACAGCCTCAAAAGCTGTACTGAAGAAAGTTAATAAATTAGTTAGACAAGAACGGCCTCTCGTGAATCCATGCTGAGTAACATTAATCAGATTATGCTTATCCAGATGGCTTCTTATAATCTCAGCTATAATTGACTTCAGCAATTTGCCTACAATTGACTCCAGCAATTTGCCTACAATTTGCCTTAAAATTTGTTCTTAAAACCAGTTAATTATATTTAAATTCTAGAGGTGGGAAATACAGTGCCTGCACTCTGATGGTTGGTGCAGGCTGTTGTGACTTGGAGGGTAATTTGGGTTAAGATATACTTACAATTATGGCAAGATAGCTGGTGAATGAGTGATGGTGACTTGTCTTTTTTTTTTTACCATGGTAAGAACAGTCACTGTGGTAAAACCTGAAAAAAAAAATTGTAGTTACCTTTGAAATGTTTTGAGAGGTTTCCAGCTCCCACATCGCAGCCCTGTTCAGGTTAAAGGCTTGGATAATTAAGACACTACACTACCTAGTTACTACTTTAGCTATTAAAAATAATATGCTTAAAAAAATGATTAAGGCTTAAAGTTAGATATACCTTTAGAAGGTTTTGGGGTCAGTGACCCCGCGAGCTCGATCTGTGACTAGGCCTCAGGGTGGATCAGGGCCTGATCAACCAGGATGTTACTGCTGGCCACACATAGACTGGTGTACGAACCACAGCCCGGCTGCTCAGGTACTGACTTTAGGTGCTTTGAAAATATACTTCTATGTATGTATATTCCCTACTGAACAGTTGTTTCTCTGTTACAGGGTTAACTATGGATACAGCTGAGGAACTGCAAGTGGCAAACTATGGAATTGGAGGGCACTATGAGCCACATTTTGACTATGCAAGGGTAAGGTTATGAGTTAAACCCCTTGATACAGTATTAGTATCATGATATAGCTTATTATTACAGTATTATAATATTATCAATATGGCAGGTACTAAACATGTGTGGCTCACTCATCACTACATGGCTGAAGTGTTGCTGATGTTAATGGGAAAGGAAGCAGAAAGGTTAAGGGTGATAATCAACATGAATACTCATGGTGAGTGAGACACATGTGCAACAGTTGGGTATCTTTATTTTTGAAATGTTTCACCTACTCAGTAGGCTTCTTCAGTCAAATACACAGTATGGATTGAAGGCAGCAAAAGTGACAATGTAAAGATGATGTAATCAGTCCATCAACCTTGTAGAAATAGTTTGAGGTTGTCAGTCTCTCAGCCTCATTCTCCAGGCTAAATACAGTATGGGTATGTATTTGTCAGATGTTATTCCTCATGGTTTGTCAAACCCCCATTCAGAAAGTAGTTTATCATAATTCAAAGTCACCTCTCATTGAACAAAAGTTCACTTAGTGGTAATTTTGGTTAATGACCAAACAAAAAACCTAGGACCCTTTCCCTGTTTAATGACCAACTAGTCTCACTCGACAACCAAATTTGCTGGATCCCAATTTTTGTCTCGATTGGAGAAGGTATTATAATATCCTCACTTGATCTTAAAGTAATATCTCATTAAATGTTACTCTAATCTGGCTTATGTTGACTTTCATAAGAAAGACTAAATAAAAAGAAAAGAGTTGGGCATGGAAAATTTAAAGAGAATATTTTGAACAAAATCCCATGTTTAATTTTCATTTCAAGTGCCATGTGCCAGGTTAGAAGGGAAATGGACTTATCCCGAGAAAGTGTGACCAAATTTTACATTTTCTCCATTAGTTTTCAGTCAATGTCACTCATTTTCTACACATGACCATCTGGTATATGTGGGGTATTCTCTTACTTTTTCAAAGCATTTGTCAATAAATGAGAAATCCTATGAGATATTATAATAGGCTTACTTGAATTTTTCACAATATGTACAAGATGCTATCAAAAAGTTCTTGGACTACCACAGAAAAAACATCTAGGTTTACCTAATCACCTAGTTGAAGTTCTCTCTCAAAGTACTCACCTCAGGAGGCTATACACTGATTCAGCGGCTCTGCCACTTCTCAAAACATTTTTGGAACCCTCCTTTACTAACGGCATCTAGCACAGCCTACAATTCTGCTTGAATCTCCTCCACATCATCCCCCTTGAGTTCCATTTGTAATTTTGAGAAAAAGAAGTCACAGGGGGGCTACATCTGGGGAGTAGAGAGTGTGGGGGATGACTGCCATGTTGTTTTGGCCAGAAAATGATGGTCATTCTGGTCTTGAGTCAGCCAGTGGAGTACATATTGCACATCCATTCGTCTCATGTTCAGATTTTCAGTCAAAATGTTTTGACGCAACACAAGAAATTCCCACAATACTTGCAATGTTCTGGGTACTCTGATGACAGTCTTCATGAATATCCTTCCTCACTTATTCAATGTTGGTATCTGTTTTTGACATTGATGGATGACCAGAGCATTCATCGTCCTCAACAAACATTCGTTCTGCTTTGAATCGAGAAAACTATTCAAAACAATGTGTCTGACCCATTGTTTCATCACTAAATGCTTGCTGAAGCGTTTTGTGACTCACTTGACGTGTTACTGAGATGGAAACAAAAGTTCACACACGCTGTTCTTTCTTTGAGAGATTCTCATCAGTTACACAAAAAATTGCAACTACACACTGACTACACAACAGAAATGCTTGTCTGACTTCATCGAAATGAGGTAGAAAGGGCATCACCTGCACTCTGAAGGAGGGGTGGGGATAGTGCAGTCAAAGGGTCATCTGGAGTGTGATGTCAGCTCACCTTGGTAAGACAGGGATTGAATGAATGATGGTGAATAATTTTCCCTTATTTTTAGGTCACTGTCTATCTTGGTGGGAAATGGCTGATGAAGTAAAAAATGTAATCAGGCTTATATTATGTGACAACGAAAAGCAAAAATTTAAGTGCCATATATTTAAAGGACTTTGAAATAGTTCCCTTCCAGCCTTCTTTATTTCTTCAGTTGAGGGTCTCGGTTTTTATTTTGATTGCAGTGAGATTGATATAACATAGCCAATTTATTTTGAATTAACTATATGCTGATTATTGTAAGAGTATCATCATCACTAGACCATTATACTAAGTTTATTATTTACAGCGAGAAGAGAAAGATGCCTTTAAATCTCTAGGCACTGGTAACAGAATTGCAACTTTCCTGTTCTATGTGAGTAAATTTGTGAAAAGATTTTGAAAGCTTACCTACATAGTGCTTTATGCATTGTAGACTGATTTAACATTTACTGCTATGGAAATATGGAAAAGAAACGTTAGAAAAGCATTATTTGGCTGGTTGCCTTTATTAATTGTGACTCACTGTATATTTGTACTTTTTTTAAGAAATGCTTTTCCATGTTTTCACTTACTATCCAATAATTGTTTTTATCTGCTGATTTGCCATTAAAATATAAAGGCTTATGGTGAGTGTGCTTGCTCTGCTCTTTTAGGATGGTGGTGATATTTTATTTCAGCTTAGACAGGCCTGTCTGCTGGATTTAAACCTTCGAGACTTGAGAATGATAAGTGTATGTGGTAGCAGTTTGTACATAATTCACTAGATATTAGTGGTTCAGACATGGGCTTTCTCAAACAGGTATATACTCTAGTGCTTTCCATTTTAATTGTTTAATGTTTTGTTTGGTTTCTAGTTATCCTCATAAATGCCATACATACACACTAGTACTACATCTTACATGATGTACCCTACTTAACCCCCTGTTTTGTTAAGACACAAAATAAGGCCTGATGATGGGTATATTGTTGAAGGTGTGAGAGATATTGAGATCACGAAACTGAAAAGAGTGTGCATATAAATTTTTTGTGCTTGAGATATGTTTCAAGCAATAAGGAGTAAGAGTTTTTTTTTTTTTTTTTTTTTGGGGGGGGGGGGGGGAACTTTCCTTATTCACAACTTGGTACAGATATCGTATGAAAATTTAATGCATTTGGCTAACGCGTTGGTGTGGAGTTTAACTACTCACCGCAGGTTTAGTCCCTGCCCATACTGTGGTCTGAAGAAATCTAGTTGGGGCTCACTGTCAATCCACTATATCATAATTGTCTTGTCAATTAGGGGACCCGCAGGATTCACTTTCGATGTCTACACAACCCCCAACACACTCACTCTGACTGATCTCCTCACTGGATTATACAGCACTGTCCTCACTGACAGTTCCACCTTTGATGAAAATTCAAATTTTTAACAGAAACTAACCTCTTGCACTAACCCTTACCCTCATACACTGCTGTATAACCCTTATGGGTTTAGTGCTTATATTTATTAAAGTGAAAATATGAAATCTAGTTTACGTTGGTTTATATTTTCACTTGTAATGAATGAGAGCTGAGGATAAACAGTTGTTGTGCATTATTCGTATACTACACAACACATCAAAGAGATTGGAATACTGGAAATACTTTAGTGTGATTTCCGTAAGTTTTGAAAAGGGTTTTTCTTCATAAGCATCTGTATTTTTCAGTACCTTCGAAAACAAGAAGTCCATGAATAGAAGATAATAAAATATGTGTATATACTGTACTGAGTTTTAAATTTGCTTTGGCTGAATCTTGTACAGGTCATTGTAGTGTTGCATTACAGCACTTAAATGCTCATTTATATTTTTTTTGTAATACACAGCTTTGATTTGTATATAGGTTTTTGGAAATTTATTTGCTAGCATTTGAACCACAAGGTTGACAGCAGTAACAGTTTAACATAGGACAAGACACAAATGTACCTGACATGGGCTAAATTGACTTATCAGGCAACTGACACAAGACTGACGTTGCATGTTTACAGAAAGATGAGATTAACCCTGAGCTTGGCCTGGGCCCATGGGGCAATCGCATGGCTACATTTCTCTTCTATGTAAGTAATTTAGGATTCATAACCAATTTGTGCATTCCCTGCATGAAATGATTTGGCACTTACATTTCTTTTGCTTGACTTTCTTGCATGTATCCAACAAGGAAGGTTCCGTGATGCAGGTGGAGGGCTCTTGCTCCAAGGAATTAAGCCTGGCCTCCCCTTCCATGGCTCCAGCCTAATTGCCTTCCATTCCCCAGGCACTGTATGACCCATACAGGTTTAGTGCTCTTCCTTTCAATGTAATAATAATGCATGTTCATTGACATGAACATCGGGGTGTCCAGGGACCTAACTTAACCTTGTTTTTAATCCTACTTTACCCTAAATTGTTTTCATGTTCAGCTCTTGTTTATATTCTTACATTGTTGCAAATGGACTTAAGTACCCAGTATTGATCCACATTCTTAATGCTAAATAGTCATTATGTTACAACAGCATATTAAGTATTAAGTTTAAAAGAAAAAAAGTGATTTATATATTTTGTGTTTAGTTGTGTAATATTTAAATAACCCTAATTTCAGTTTTAATATTTCTGTAGATGAGTGATGTGGAGGCTGGAGGAGCCACAGTGTTCCCATATATCAACTTGAGTCTTTGGCCCAAGAAAGGTGCTGCTGCATTTTGGTACAACTTGCATCCAAGTGGGGAGGGTGACACACTCACCAGACATGCAGCTTGTCCAGTATTAGTTGGTACCAAGTGGGGTAAGTCTTTAAAGTTCAGTGGAAGGGATTAGGGCAACAAGTATATGCACTATAAAAAATCATTTTAGAAAATAACATCAAAAACATATCACACTAATCTAGCAACATTGATGTAATTAACACTGATTCAAAAATTGAAGTTACTATAAATATAGTAAAATAATATAAAATATCTGAGTTTCCAATTTATGTATATCTGCATGGTGAAAGCATTCCTTTCCTTTTTGGGTCACCCTGCCTCAGTGGGAGATGGATGACATGTTGAAAAAAAAAAAATAATGTTTAAAGGGTGGACCGGTAAGCCAGTGGAAGGCCTTGGTCAGATGACCAGAGGCTCCAGTGGCTGGTCATCATATGACCAAGGCCCATATCAGGAAACGTCCTGTTTCCTGACTAATCTCATCTAGTTTAACCTGCATCTAATGCAAATCTCGTAAATATACAGTACAGTTAACATTTAATGCAAGAGTTGTTTTCAAAATTGTGTAAAATAAAAAAAAATAAAGTGAAGCTCTTAACCTGTAGGGGTCGTTGTGCCTGGGGAATGGGAGGCATTCAGGTTCAATCCAAAGAAGAAGTGAGATAAGCCAAGTTCTTTTAATCAGGAGCTCCTCACTGGCATTGACGGCTGTGTAGAATAAAATTGTTAAATTCAATGAATAAAGAAAATATGGGAAAAAAAAATTGGTTACATTTCAAATACATTATGTAAAAGATAACTTTAAAGATCTAAATAGGCACTCAAGGAATAGTTTGTAAGTGAAAAATATGTTTAAGCAAATTACATTTACCTATAGAAGCCCATGCTAGGACTTGAGATGGGAGCTAGGACAATAATATTCTGAATCTAATTCCTATTAATTTTCCATTGAATCTTGTACATAAAAAAAAAATGAAAAAATTATCAAAATATCAAGAGAGGTAGTAAGAAAACATCACATGTTTCTGTTATTGTTGGTTTGAAGGGTATCCAACAGGTTGGCATGTTACCATGAAACCTGTGGGTTTATTATTACATTCATGGGGGATATGCTAAGCCCATAGTCATATAACATCTAGGGAATTACGAGGTAATCAGGTTTGATCCAGAGAAGGGGTAGTCAGAGCTAAATGTTGGATCAAGTTTCCTTCAGCAGCATCCAAGATTCCTTGAGGAGTGCCCCCCTGTGGGTTTTGAGGTTCCCTCAGATTAAAATAAATATGCACTAGAGATTAATGTGAGCCCCACTTTGACTACAAAGTTAGTGTTTACTTCACTATATATAATACTACTACTACTACTACTTTATATCAGATTTTAATTTTGGTTATGATAATAATAGTCAACCAAAAAATAAAAATGCAATTAAATTATAATGACAGTGCTGTTTACACAAATGCTGGAGAGAATCTCTGTTTTGCACACCATGTTTCTCATTTGTTACTTTATACATATAGCAATAAAGTGGGTCATAATAAGCATGTATGCACCTGGAGAAGAGAGGAATGTAGAGGAAGAGAGAGATTTTGGGAGATGTTAAGTGAATGTATAGGAGCCTTTGAACCAAGTGAGAGAGTAATTGTGGTAGGGGACCTGAATGCTAAAGTAGGAGAAACTTTTAGAGAGGGTGTGGTAGGTAAGTTTGGGATGCCAGGTGTAAATGATAATAGGAGCCCTTTGATTGAACTTTGTATAGAAAGGGGTTTAGTTATAGGTAATACATATTTTAAGAAAAAGAGGATGAATAAGTATACAAGATATGATGTAGGGCAAAATGACAGTAGTTTGTTGGATTATGTATTGGTAGATAAAAGACTGTTGAGTAGACTTCAGGATGTACATGTTTACAGAGGGGCCACAGATGTATCAGATCACTTTCTAGTTGTAGCTACACTGAGAGTAAAAGGTAGATGGGATACAAGGAGAATAGAAGCATCAGGGAAGAGAGGTGAAGGTTTATAAACTAAAAGAGGAGGCAGTTAGGGTAAGATATAAACAGCTATTGGAGGATAGATGGGCATCGAAGAGGTATGGGGTAGGTTTAAAAATGTAGTGTTAGATTGTTCAGCAGAAGTTTGTGGTTACAGGAAAGTGGGTGCGGGAGGGAAGAGGAGCGATTGGTGGAATGATGATGTAAAGAGAGTAGTAAGGGAGAAAAAGTTAGCATATGAGAAGTTTTTACAAAGTAGAAGTGATGCAAGGAGGGAAGACTATATGGAGAAAAAGAGAGAGGTTAAGAGAGTGGTGAAGCAATGTAAAAAGAGAGCAAATGAGAGAGTGGGTGAGATGTTATCAACAAATTTTGTTGAAAATAAGAAAAAGTTTTGGAGTGAGATTAACAAGTTAAGGAAGCCTAGAGAACAAATGGATTTGTCATTTCAAAATAGGAGAGGAGAGCTATTAAATGGAGAGTTAGAGGTATTGGGAAGATGGAGGGAATATTTTGAGGAATTGTTAAATGTTGATGAAGATAGGGAAGCTGTGATTTCGTGTATAGGGCAAGGAGGAATAACATCTTGTAGGAGTGAGGAAGAGCCAGTTGTGAGTGTGTGGGAAGTTCGTGAAGCAGTAGGTAAAATGAAAGGGGGTAAGGCAGCCGGGATTGATGGGATAAAGATAGAAATGTTAAAAGCAGGTGGGGATATAGTTTTGGAGTGGTTGGTGCAATTATTTAATAAATGTATGGAAGAGGGTAAGGTACCTAGGGACTGGCAGAGAGCATGCATAGTTCCTTTGTATAAAGGCAAAGGGGACAAAAGAGAGTGCAAAAATTATAGGGGGATAAGTTTGTTGAGTATACCTGGTAAAGTGTATGGTAGAGTTATTATTGAAAGAATTAAGAGTAAGACGGAGAATAGGATATCAGATGAACAAGGAGGCTTTAGGAAAGGTAAGGGGTGTGTGGACCAGGTGTTTACAGTAAACCATATAAGTGAACAGTATTTAGATAAGGCTAAAGAGGTCTTTGTGGCATTTATGGATTTGGAAAAGGCGTATGACAGGGTGGATAGGGGGGCAATGTGGCAGATGTTGCAGGTGTATTGTGTAGGAGGTAGGTTACTGAAAGCAGTGAAGAGTTTTTGCGAGGGTAGTGAGGCTCAAGTTAGAGTATGTAGGAAAGAGGGAAATTATTTCCCAGTAAAAGTAATCCTTAGACAAGGATGTGTGATGTCACTGTGGTTGTTTAATATATTTATAGATGGGGTTGTAAGAGAAGCAAATGCGAGGGTCTTGGCAAGAGGCGTGGAGTTAAAAGATAAAGAATCACACATAAAGTGGGAGTTGTCACAGTTGCTCTTTGCTGATGACACTGTGCTCTTGGGAGATTCTGAAGAGAAGTTGCAGAGAAAATTAAAAGTAAATACAGGAAAGAGTAAGGTTATGAGGATAACAAAAAGATTAGGTGATGAAAGACTGAATATCAGATTGGAGGGAGAGAGTATGGAGGAGGTGAATGTATTCAGATATTTGGGAGTGGACGTGTCAGTGGATGGGTCTATGAAAGATGAAGTGAATCATTGAATTGATGAGGGGAAAAGGGTAAGTGGTGCACTTAGGAGTATGTGGAGACAAAGAACTTTGTCCTTGGAGGCAAAGAGGGGAATGTATGAGAATATAATTTTACCAACGCTCTTATATGGGTGTGAAGCATGGGTGATGAATGTTGCAGCGAGGAGAAGGCTGGAGGCAGTGGAGATGTCATGTCTGAGGGCAATGTGTGGTGTGAATATGCAGAGAATTCGTAGTTTTGAAGTTAGGAGGAGGTGCGGGATTACCAAAACTGTTGTCCAGAGGGCTGAGGAAGGGTTGTTGAGGTGGTTCGGACATGTAGAGAGAATGGAGCGAAACAGAGTGACTTCAAGAGTGTATCAGTCTGTAGTGGAAGGAAGGCAGGGTAGGGGTCGGCGTAGGAAAGGTTGGAGGGAGGGGGTAAAGGAGGTTTTGTGTGCGAGGGGCTTGGACTTCCAGCAGGCATGCGTGAGCGTGTTTGATAGGAGTGAATGGAGACGAATGGTTTTTAATACTTGACGTGCTGTTGGAGTGTGAGCAAAGTAACATTTATGAAGGGGTTCAGGGAAACCGGCAGGCCGGACTTGAGTCCTGGAGATGGGAAGTACAGTGCCTGCACTCTGAAGGAGGGGTGTTAATGTTGCAGTTTAAAAACTGTAGTGTAAAGCACCCTTCTGGCAAGACAGTGATGGAGTGAATGATGGTGAAAGTTTTTCTTTTTCGGGCCACCCTGCCTTGGTGGGAATCGACCAGTGTGATAATAAAAAAAAAATAATGATTTATTATATAGTTGAAATAAATAAAGCTTACAAGTAGACGAATAAAGTAAAAAAATACATTTCTCAGAGCATGTGCACCTCACTGTAGCATTACAGCTGTATTTTTTTTATTTTATTAACACATCGGCTGATTCCCACCAAGGCAGGGTGGCCCGAAAAAGAAAAACTTTCATCATCATTCACTCCATCACTGTCTTACCAGAGACGTTCTTACACTACAGTTATAAAACTGCAACATTAACACCCCTTCTTCAGAGTGCAGACACTGTACTTCCCATCTCCAGGACTCAAGTCTGGCCTTCCAGTTTCCCTGAATCTCTTCATAAATGTTACTTTATTCACACTCCAACAGCATGTCAAGTAGTATTAAAAACCATTTGTCTCCATTCACTCCTATCAAATACGCTCACACATGCTTGCTGGAAGTCCAAGCCCCTCGTACACAAAACCTCCTCTACCCCCTCCTTCCAACCTTTCCTAGGCCAACCCCTACACTGCCTTCCCTCCACTACAGATTTATACACTCGAAGTCATTCTGTTTTGTTCCATTCTCTCTACATGTCCGAACCACCTCAACCCCTCCTCAGCCCTCTGGATAATAGTTTTAGTAATCCCGCACCCCCTCCAAATTTCCAGACTACGAATTCTCTGCATTATATTCACACCACACATTGTCCTCAGACATGACATCTCCACTGCCTCCAGTCTTCTCCTTGTTGCAGCATTTGCCACCCATGCTTCACACCCATATAAGAGTGTTGGTAAAACTATACTCTCATACATTCCCCTCTTTGCCTCCAAGGACAAAGTTCTTTGTCTCCACAGACTCCTAAGTGCACCATTCACCCTTTTCCCCTCATCAATTCTTTAATTCACTTCATCCTTCATAGACCCATCTGCAGACACGTCCACTCCCAAATATCTGAATACATTTACCTCCTCCATACTCACTCCCTCCAATTTGATATCCAGTCTTTTGTCACCTAATCTTTTTGTTATCCTCATCACCGTACTCTTTCCTGTATTCACTTTTAATTTTCTTCTTTTACATACTCTACCAAACTCATCCACCAACCTCTGACACTTCTCTTCAGAATCTCCCAAAAGCAGTGTCATCAGCAAAGAGCAACTGTGACAACTCCCACTTTGTGGTAGATTCTTTATCTTTTAATGCCACACCTCTTGCCAACACCCGCACATTCACTACTCCTACAACCCCATCTATAAATATATTGAACAACCACGGTGACATCATACATCCTTGTCTAAGCCCTACTGTTGCTGAGAAATAATCTCCCTCTCTCCTACATACTCTAACCTGAGCCTCACTATCCTCGTAAAAACTCTTCACTACTTTCAGTAACCTACCTCCTGTTCCATACACCTGCAGCATCTGTCATATTGCCCTCCTATCCACCTTGTCATATGCCTTTTCCAAATCCATAAATGCCACAAAAACCTTTTTACCCTCATCTAAATACTGTTCACCTATATGTTTCATTATAAACACTTGGTCTACACACCCTCTACCTTTCCTAAAGCCTCCTTGTTCATCTGCTATCCTACTTTCTGAATTACTCTTAATTCTTTCAATTATAACTCTACCATACACTTTACCAGGTATACTCAACAGACTTATTCCCCTATAATTTTTGCACTCTCTTTTGTCTCCTTTGCCTTTATACATAAGAACTATGCATGCTCTCTGCCAATCCCTAGGCACCTTACCCTCTTCCATACATTTATTAAATAATAGCACCAACCATTCTAAAACTATATCCTCACCTTCTTTTAACCCTTTGGGGGTTTCGGCCGTACTAGTACGGCTTACGCACCAGGGTTTTTGACGTACTAGTACGCATAAATTCTAGCGCCCTCAAATCTAGCAAGAGAAAGCTGGTAGGTTTACATATGAAAGAATGGGTCTATGTGGTCAGTGTGCGCAGTATAAAAAAAAATCCTGCAGCATACAGTGCGTAATGAGAAAAAAAAACTTTGACTTTGTTTTTGGATTAAAACAGCGACTTTGCACTGTATTTTCGTATCGTATTTATTGTTGTATTCTAGTTTTCTTGGTCTCATTTTATAGAATGGAAGACATATTACAGAAATTGAGATGATTTTGACTGGTTTTACAATGAAAAGTACCTTGAAATTGAGCTCAAAGTAGCAGAAATGTTCGATTTTTACCAAAGTCCAATACACGTCAACTGGTGAATCTAATATTCTTTCACAAGTGTGCCGATATTATTTATACCATTTCTACACTAATGCAGTAGTCTGCATAATAGTAAATCTTATTTTTTTTTGCGAGAATAAAAAATCAAAGTGGAAAGCAAAAGAAATGTAAGAGGGGCCTGGGGACGTGACTAATGAACAGAGGAAATGTTATTTTAGTGCCAGGAATGTCTTTCTTGTTTATTCTGGACCCTATTTGGAAATTGGCATCTTCTGAAATTTGTGTGAAATTGGCAAAATTGCTAAATTCTGACCACTTTATTGGATAGTTGAAATCGGTAAATGGGTGGTTTCTTGTACTTATTCGATAGAAAAAAATGGAGTTCTAGCAAAATAGCTATGATTTTTGTCGACTAGTACACTAGAATTGGCCGAAAATAGGGCTCAAAGTGAGCAAAATCATCGAGACCGCTAACATCTCGAGAGCATAATTCCGTAAGTTTTCCATCCAATTTCTTACTTTTGGTGTCATTATGATCGAGAAAAGATTCTCTATCTTTTCATAAAAAAGAATTTTTTTTTTTTTTTTTTTTTTTTATAATTTTGGCGACCCTGAGAACAAGTCTCTGAGAGGGCCTGGTGACCCCCAAAGGGTTAACATTTCTATCTTTATCCCATCAATCCCAGCTGCCTTACCCTCCTTTCATTGTACCTACTGCCTCATGAACTTCCCCCACACTAACAACTGCCTCTTCCTCACTCCTACAAGATATTATTCCTCCTTGCCCTATACATGAAATCACAGCTTTCCTATCTTCATCAACATTTAACAATTCCTCAAAATATTCCCTCCATCTTCCCGATACCTCTAACTCTCCATTTAATAACTCTCCTCTCCTGTTTTTAACTGTCAGACCCATTCATTCCATAGGCTTCCTCAACTTATTAATCTCACTCCAAAACTTTTTCTTATTTTCAACAAAATTTTTTGATAACATCTCACCCACTCTCATTTGTTCTCTTTTTATATTGCTTCACCACTCTCTTAACCTCTCTTTTTCTCTCCATATACTCTTCCCTCCTAGCATCACTTTCACTTTGTAAAAACCTCTCGTATGCTAACTTTTTCTCCCTTACTACTCTCTTTACATCATCATTCCAGCAATTGCTCTTCTTTCTCCCTGCACCCACTTTCCTGGAGCCACAAACTTCTGCTGAACACTCTAACACTACATTTTTAAACCTACCCCATACATCTTTGACCCTATTGCCTATACTCTCACTAGCCCATCTATCTTCCAATAGTTGTTTATGTCTTACCCTAACTGCCTCCTCTTTTAGTTTATAAACCTTCACCTCTCTCTTACTTGCTACTTCTATTTTCCTTGTATCCCATCTACCTTTTACTTTCACTGTAGCTACAATTAAAAAGTGATCTGATGTATCTGTGGCCCCTCTATAAACATGTACATCCTGAAGTCTTGTCAACAGTCTATTATCTACCAGTACGTAGTCCAACAAAGTATATTGTCATTATGCCCTACATCATATCTTGTATACTTATTTATCCTCTTTTTCTTAAAATATGTATTACCTATAACTAAACCCCTTTCTATACAAAGTTCAATCAAAGGGCTCCCATTATCATTTACACCTGGCACCCCAAACTTACCTACCACACTCTCTCTAAATGTTTTTCCTACTTTAGCATTTAGGTCCCCTACCACAGTTACTCTCTCGCTTGGTTCAAAAGTTCCTATACATTCACTTAACATCTCCCAAAATCTCTCTTCTCCAGGTGCATACACGCTTATGACCACTTTTTGCATCTGACCCTTATTTTAATCCACATAATCCTTGAATTTGTACATTTATGTTCCCCCTTCTCCTTCCATGACTGATCTTTCAAAATTATTGTTACCCCTTCCTTAGCTCTAACTCTCTCAGATACTCCTGACTTAATCCCATTTATTTCTCCCCACTGAAACGTGCCTACCCCTATCAGCTTTGTTTCACTTAGGACTAGGACATCCAACTTCTTTTCATTCATAACATCAGTTTTTCTTCTTCTCTTTTTTAGTAATGTATACAGGAGAAGGGGCTACTAGCCCATTGCTCCCGGCATTTTAGTCGCCCCCACACGACACGCATGGCTTAAGGAGGAAAGATTCTTTTCCACTTAATGTGTATAAATAATGTTAGCCTATACTCTCACCATATTTTTTACCAATATCCTTATATTTATATAAATCTGATAATGTAAGAATTACATTGTTATTTATTTACATCAGATATGTATATTGTTTTGCACGAACTTTTACACAAATGCACGTTTTCCTCTTCAGAAAAATTCACCTTTGAAGTTAAACTATTATTTTTCATGTTAAGTAAGAGATATTTACCTATGAAATATATGAAAGAAATCACTCTTGTACTTCTAAGGTTTTTTTTATTTATCACTCTTTTCACTCAGAAAAATATACATACTAATAAATTTAATCTAAATACATTACCCTATATTATCACTCTGACTTCATAAGGCAGAATTTTTTTTACTATGTATATGGAGTTAAGCTGATTTCTCTATAAATATCTATATCTGTACTGTATGTACATGTTTATTTGGAAATATCCAGATATTAAATTTTTAAAAAATATTTATCTTAATTTCAGTATCAAACAAATGGATTCATGAACGTGGACAAGAATTCAGAAGGCCATGCACTCTAGACTACAATACATTATAATAATCTTCAGTCATATTGTGTGTCCATATACCATGCACTTCTTTTATGTTTTATACATTTTCTCGGCTCCATAGCTAGCAAGTTATCTCAAACTGAGGATTCCTCAGCATGTTCCTAATATTTGTGGTCTTACCTTGAGACTGATACTCTACCTTACAGTTGGCCATTTGAGCAGTGAATTTATTTTATTTCTGCCAAAGAAAACCTGTAATATCTTTAAGGCATTTACATGTTATTAAAAACTTAACATGAATATATCAAAATACTGTACAAGACAGACTTTTCATAGATTTTTTTCCACAAGAAAAGTTCTGCAGCAGATTATTTATTTGAATAATATTTCATGTATGTAGAAAATTTTAATTTGTGCTTTTTTAATTTATGTCTTTTTACTTAATTTTTAGGGTTAAAAAAAATATTTCTGAAAATTTTACTTATGGGTTCATTACCACACCATATACAGTAAGATCCTGGTAATGTGTGATAGTAAAATGTGTAAATCAGTTGTGTACAGTTAAAATAAACACCATTCTTTGGCATTTCACATTTTTCATACATAAATACATTGTTAAAAAAATAGTACAAAACATCCTTATTTTATTGAAAAATGTGGCTGTATAGCCCTTGTGGTTTAGTGCTTCTTTTTGACAATAATAATAATAATAATTGAAAAATATGAAAAAGTGCAATATACCGACACATAACATGGCATATTGCTGTACAGTAATGAAGCACTTTAAACACTACATTACTATAACTACTATATACAGCCAAACTTGTTTACGATTATTCTTGATGTTTCTTACAAATTAAAAAAAAAATAAATTGCATCCTTGAAAGTCTAAATTTTATCTAGCTTTATATATTATATCCATCAAGGTGAGTATGAACCTGCCAGTTGTCACTAAGTGTGAAGAGAATCTCAAAAGTTAAGAGTATGTACTATAATAATATTCTCACAAAAAGTACAGTACTAAATTTGTAAATGAAGTTGAACAAGAACAGAGGAAACAGAATATCACTTATAGCTGAAAGTGTAGGTAAGGTGTACTACATAGTGAAGGACAGCAATGCTTGGGGAGAACTACTTAGCCAGCAGTGAGTTGTGGTTATGCAGTTACTGGCCATATGCATTGGTACTCAACAGTAATGAGCACATCAAACCAACCAAGAGAAAAGTAAACGCCTCCTGCACATATAGCGTGATAAGAGCTATGCATGTCCTAGTTTCACCGTGTATCCCTGAGTAATCATCTTTGTACTCTGGATTATTCATCATTAAATTATCTGCTTCTTTGGATAATTCTTTGTCTCCAGGAGGCAATTCAAAACATCACCAGTTATTTATATTTAGTGTTGGGAATCATACTTAGCACTTTGCTATACATAGCTCACTTCTAAAACACAAAAAATTCATAACATTCACAGGCCCCAGGATTTTGTTGTACTGTATTTACAGACAAGTGTGTGTAACTACCTATTTAAATTTTAAGGAGAGATGGATTGGACTCGTATCTTGGGCCCACATTTTATCTTTTAATCAAGTGACATGAATTAGGAGTTTTATATTAGGTCAATTTCCACTGTTCATGATTTAGTTCAGACCACTTTTTAACTGCCCTTATTTTAAACATGTTCAGTTCTCTGGCTCAGTTGGGTATGCAGGGCCCATCTATAACCTCTTATTGTAGTTATTCCTCTGGTAAAGATTCTATAAATGTATCTCATATTTGCATCATTTATCTGACAATGATTTGTTTATTTTGCAAAATGTGGACATTGGAAAATAGCAACAGAAATAATTTAATGTACAACCTTTCCTCAGCCATTTTAGTTACTAAATATACATTGGCATAAAATTCTTTGTATTAAAGGTAAATCTTTAACAATCTCATAATGAGCATGTCATATACATGAGACATATAATACCATTATTTATTAGACTGCAAAAATAATTTTCTTTAGTAAACTGAATGCTTAGTCATTTTTGGAAGGACGAAAGGTTTATCAAGTTAATGTTAGTTAACCTAAATAATAAAATGTATATATACTATAGGCACTACAAATATAAGAGTGCTAAAATCTTTATAGAAAGAAATTGCTTAGTGGCAAAAAGGCTCAAGTGGCAATAGACATTAGTAGTAAGAATCATTTTAGTATAGCATTTCACCCATGGCTGGACTTTTTCAAGTACTTGATAAATTTAGTCCAGGCTTAGGTGAAGTATTAAAAGGATTCTCTACCAGTCTTTATTTCCAGAAATTGCATAGTCACTTTGTTGTCTAATTATATTTGTAACTAAAGCATTTTATTAGATGCTAATAAGCTTTAGTTGTTCTGCCTTTACCACTGATGGAATCATCCCCCAATACTTTTTTTTTTTATTGGTGTTTGGGGAGGATGTTAGTTTCTTCTTGTTGGTTTGTCATTCTGACTGGGATGCCAGTTGCCATTTTTTTTTTTCCATACTGCAGATACTATGTGGCTTTGAAGGAAGTTTGCTACTGTCTTTGATGGAGTGTGGTCATTTGCTTTGCCTGGGTTTTCAGTAGTGAGATCCTGCTTTTTTATTTGGGAACACTAGTTCCCTTTTCTTTCTCTGCCCAGATATGGACATGATTCAAGCTGAGATACTGTTAGAGCTCAATACATCAAGCACATAAAACAAATTGTAACAGTAAGAACAGAGATTATTATTATTATAATCAAGGGGGAAGCGCTAAACCCAGAGGATTATACAGCGCCTGGTGGGGGGGGGGGGGACGTGGAAGGCATTCAGGCTTAATTCGGGAAACTGGAGCACAGATCCAATTCCCTAAATCAAGAGCCCCTCACCAACATCAAGGAACCTTCCTTGAGGGGTAAGAACAGAGCTTATTTGCCACAAACAACAAAATTTATGTTGAGCATAATACCTGTGTATTAACATGTCAAAACTTTTTTTTTTTTTTTTTTTTTTTATTACACATTGGCAGATAACAACAGTGGAACACCATAAGTTCAGCTGGATTTGGGAAGGAGGCTGTCTGAGGTTTTGATTTGTCCAAAAATACCATTTTGGGGTCACTGTTTACTCTTAATTTCCTTCTTGTATGTACTCCCAAATTCCTCCACCAACCTTTGTAACCTCTTTGAATCTCCCAAAAGAACAATATTTTCGGCAAAAAGTCGATGACAGAGGTATAGGTAGCTGTTTGTCTTATCTTAAATGACTTATTTATTTGTAATCAAGTTTCGGACAATTTTTTCATAGTTTCTAATTTTCCGAGTTCGTGCCTAAACTTATGATATTCCGCTATATTATTATTGCATAAAAAGGTCATAAAAATCTCAAAATGGAAGTGTTAGAACTGACATACATATATACAGTATTTTTATATATTAAGAGATGTTTATATGTTCTTGCTATATACAGTTTCCACTGGAGCTGGCATCTGAAGTATGGTATATTTGCAAGTCATTTTCACTGAAGTGGCATTTTTGGTTGTATGGCTATTTTGTAGTTATTCAACACGATAGTTTTAATTATATATACAGTGGACCCTCGAACTTCATCATCCCTTTTCTGTATGTAAAACTATAGTTAGTCTCTCTCAAATGGATTTTTTGTTAATATTTTTGGGTGTCTGGAAGGGATTAATTGGATTTACATGATGAAATTCGAGGGTCCACTGTATTTAAAATAATTTTTATTTTTTGAATAAAATTACAATTGGCCAGGCTTTCACTGTTATGAAAATTATAGCTACCCTGCCATTTGAATTTTTTATTTGAATAACACTTGTAAATTTATTAAAGTATTTTTAATGGCTATGCTTGAGAAATGTTTTGATGTACGTTTGTAAACATCATGCACATGAGAATCTGTTTTATTTTAAAGATAATGCAAGTCTGTACATTTCACTTATTAGAAAAAATAATTATTTCTTTTACCTATTTCACATTTTAGATTAGTATGAACCAAGGATCTCTATTATAATAGTATATTAATTAATGCAATACTAAATTTATCTGGGAAGGAAGACCTTTTTAAATTTAGTGTGCACATTTACAGTCATTTTACATTCTGAAATAATTTAATAGAAAATGTGACTGGAAATTGATCAGTAGTTTCTGTAACCTTGGTATCAAAAAGCTGCAGCCGTCAGTGTTTGAAAAAAATTAATATTTCTTGTATATTACTTAAAATTTTATTTAAATTAATGTCACCTATCTTTAATGAGTTATACATTGAATATTTCATGAGTTAATTACAATGGGTATGGTGATTATTATTATTATAATAAAAAAAGAAGCACTAAGCCACAAGGACTATACAGCGCTGCAGGGCAGGAAGGAAGTGAGGGCATCAGGTGGCAAAAGGGAGATGGATGAGTAATAGGTTACGGATAACAGCGGGGTAGTGGATGGTGAAAGGGTAAAGAGCAGCAAGAGACTGAACTAGAAAGGGCTGAGGGGAGTGCGAAAAGTATCATCAGAGTTTGTGGAGTAAATCAGTCGTTGTCAAGAAGTCAATGAGAGAGTCAGGATTAAAGGAGGGTCCATCAGCAAGAAGGGAAGGTAAAGAGAGAGTAGTAGAACGAAGACGACGTTGGAGGTAAATTCTGCGTGCTCGTTGATAGAGAGGGCAGTCTAACAGAATGTGGCTAATCGATACTGGAACTTGACACTGCTCACAGAGAGGAACAGGGTGCCTCTCCATGAGATACCCATGAGTAAGACGAGTGTGGCCAATGCGAAGGCGGGAGAGAGTGGTCTCCCAACCTCGGCACTGATGACAAGAAGACGGCCAGTAACCTATGCTCGGTTTAATAGAATGAAGTTTGTTACCGAGCAGAGTTGACCAACGTTGTTGCCAACGGGTGCGAAGGTGGGTAGCTATCGACATGACCAGGGACCCAACAAAAAACAATATCGTTATGCTTGGTAGAGATACGGCGTAGCCAAAGTTGGATACGGAGAACTAGGGGATGAGATGTATCAAATTTTCGTATAGCCTGTAGAGCACTAAGGGAGTCTTGAGACTACTACAAATGATGACACAGGCATAGATGCGATACGAATAAGTGCTGCAAGAATGGCATACAGTTCAGCAGTAAAAATGCTAGCTGAACATAGTAAATGCCCCCGCACGACGCTGTCCGGAAACACTGCTGCGAATCCGACGCCGTCTGAAGACTTAGAGCCATCTGTGTACACAGCGGTGGCATGAGAATGGGAGTGGAAGTGATCAAGAAAAAGAGAGCGGGAAGCCACCGTAGGCAGTTGAGCTTTCGAGCAAGGGAGTGAGAAAGAACAGACCCGAACAGCTGGAACTTCCCAGGGGGTAGGGAAAAGTGAGATGCTACATGAACATATAAAGGTGGTACTGAAAGGGAAGAAAGAGTGATGTGGCGAAGAGAAAAGGGACGGAGCAAAAGGGGGCGGGAACGAATAATTCTACTAATTGGGTGACCTTCTTAAATAAAAAAGGTTTTGGTAGATGTGAGAGCGAAAATAGTAGCGAAGGCAATGGGCTCAGGCGATCAGAAGGATGGAACATTCGCTTCTGCATAGAGGTCTAAAAGGGGAAGGGAAAAGCCCAAGGCACAAAACGTAATATTGGTGTGGTGAGTTAAGGTAGGAGAGGGGCAGGAGAGGCCGCGGAATAATCTGGTCCCAAAATGAGTTTCTTTTAAAACGAGGGCTAAATGTAGAAAAGCGAGTTCGCGATCAGCCCCCCACAAAAGATGGCAAAGGGTTTTAAAAAGGTTTAGCCGGCTGTGGACAATTTTTCCCCTTCAGGAGTAAGTGAGGTTTCCAGGAAAACCCTACGGTAAAAGGGAAAAGGGCTAGAAACCCTGACTGTACCCCTTTCGGGGAACGGGGGCCTGAGATACAAGGTGTCGGAGATAACAGAGGTTGGGAAAAGTAATTTGGTGAGTTTTGGTACTTAAAAATTTTAAACCCATGCGTGGTGGCCAAGGGAAAAACGGCGATGATTGGGGGAAACTGCAATAAGATGACAGTCAGCGCCTGAAAGCAAATAGCAAGTCATCAACTAGTGATGCCCAAATATTGGGTGGAAGAACAGGGGCCCAAAAATTTTTTTAGCAAGGAGAAAAAAAATGTTGTGCTTAGAAAAATCCTGAGGGGGCCCTTCGTTGGACAAAATCCCGGGGGAAAAAACATTTTGACTCAAACGGAAAAGTCTGTCAGTTAAAAAGTTTAAGGAAAGGGTGGTAGACTGCCTCGGAGGCCCAAGGAAAGGGCCCCCGGGCAAAATATTATATCCCAAATTGTGTCTTGCCTTCAAAGGGCAAAAATTGGGAATAACCGGTGATTATTCGCAAAAGGGATTTTCGAAAAAATAAAAGTACCAAGCGTAGTAGGGGTCAGGTTGAACCCGTTTCGAAAGCCATTTGACTAGCGGAGATGTTGTGTGCTCTTTTAAAAAAACCCCATTTAAAAATCATTTCGGTCTTCCATCACTTTGCAAAAATGCACTGTAGGCGATGGGCGATGTGGGGGCTACGTCCGTAGTACCCGGTTTCGGAAAGGAGAAAAATGGCGATTTCCCGCTGGGGAAGAACTCTTGTGCCCCAAAAAGTTTAAGAGGTGGAAAAAGGATCAAGGGTGCCCATGTAAATGTTGTAACTCGAATTTGAAAGTCGTCAGGCCAGTGCGTGATCGGGAAGTTTTGAGCTTGCCTTAGTTTTGAAGTGTAAAAGGCCCTTTAATGTTTCTGAGAGAAGAAAAGTCCAAGGGTACTAACTCTCGCGACTTTTAGGAAGAACGAGGGGCATAGATGGAGCCCTCGGGAAATACGGACCAGATGTATGCCAAGTTCAATGGCAATGTCGAGAGGGTTTGCTACATCAACACCAGCGACCCGTAGAACAGGAGCCGGGTCAGGAGAGTATTTACCACTCAATTTCCTCACTTTTTTCCAGACTGCACTCATAGAAGAAGCAGAGGTGATGGTGGAAACAGTCTCGCCAACAAATGCGTTTAGCTTCACGGATGACACGGCGAGCGATCGCACGCTTCTGCTTAAAATCAAGAAGTCTCTCAGCAGTTCTATTGTACCGGTACCTACCCCATGCAGCACCTTTCAAATGTACTGCACGAGCACAAGCAGGAGACCACCAAGGCACGCACTTCTGAGAATGCCTGCCTGAGGTTTGGGGTATAGAATGAGAAGCTGCGGTATAAACTGATGTCGAGAAGATGTGTAGGAGCTCATCAATGGAGGATGAAGAAGGAACCTCACTAAAAGCAGTGAGGTGAGAGTAAAGATCCCACTTTGCCCGATCAAATTGCCAACGAGGGCTATGGAAAGGTGGTGAATAGGAAGGAGAAGTAAGAATGATCGGAAAATGATCGCTGTCATGCAAGTCCGGTAGAACAGACCAGGTGAAGTCTAGTGCAGTGGAGGAAGAGCAGACTGATGATCGATGCAAGAGAGAGTATGAGTACGAGGATCAAAATGGGTGGGAGTACCCGTATTTAAAACATGGAGGGGGTGAGAGGCGAGAAAAGCCTCCAACTGGATGCCATGTGAGTCACAATGAGACCCCCCCCCCCCAGAGGAAATGGTGGGCATTAAAATCACCAAGTAACAGAAGTGGTGGTGGTAAGGATGAAACAAGAAAGGCAAAGTCTGGGATAGAAAATGCTCGAGAAGGAGAGAGATATAAAGAACATATTGTAAACCACTTATTCAAGTGGATACGGGCTGCAGTGTAATGCAGCGAGGTATGGACAAATAGTTGACAGTACGGAATATCATTGCGTAGAAGAAGGGCACTTTCATTAAAGGTCCCATCTGAGAAAGGATCCGAAGAATACAATAAATTATAGCCTGAGATAGGTTGGAAAACAGCCGAGTGTAATTTTGGTTCTTGTAAGCAAGCACCAACAGGGGAAAACCTGGAAAGCAACATCTGAAGCTCACCCCAATTACCCGAGGCCGCGGATATTCCACTGTAAATAGGCCATGATTGGCGATGAAGAAAATACCAGGAATCTGTAGGTAAAGGCACCTACGGACTAGAGGGGTTAGAAAAGCCAACGTGTGGTGGCATTGGAAGACATTCAAGTAGCGAAGGAATGGAGCGTTGCGAAGAATGGGGTTGTGAAGATGGAGGAGAGGGAAGAGAAGGAACAGGAAGTGAATCAGTGTCCATTGAAGGTTTAGTCTGCAATATATTCTGAAATGGCTTCAAGTGTTTCTGAATTCAAAGATGTATGGGAGACCATATTGGAGATGCGATACGAATAAGTGCTGCAAGAATGGCATACAGTTCAGCAGTAAAAATGCTAGCTGAACATAGTAAATGCCCCCGCACGACGCTGTCCGGAAACACTGCTGCGAATCCGACGCCGTCTGAAGACTTAGAGCCATCTATGTACACTGCGATGGCATGAGAATGAGTGGAAGTGGTCAAGAAAAAGAGAGCGGGAAGTCACCGTAGGCAGTTGGGCTTTCGAGCAAGGGAGTGAGAAAGAACAGACCCGAACAGCTGGAACTTCCCAGGGGGTAGGGAAAAGCGAGATGCTACATGAACATATAAAGGTGGTAACAAGGGAAGACGAGCGAATGTAGGCGAAGAGAGAAGGGACGGAGCAAACGGGCAGCAAACAAATAAAGAATGTTCACTAATATCAGTGACCATTCTATAAATGGAAGGATTGTGGAGATCGTGAGAGCGTACATAGTAGCGAAGGCAATGGGCATCACAGTGATCAGACAAGGATGGAACATTCGCTTCTGCATAGAGGCTCTCAACAGGGAAAGAGCGAAAAGCACCAAGGCATAAACATAATCCTTGGTGATGGATGGGGTTAAGGCTAGAGAGAGCAGCAGGAAAGGCCACTGAATAAATCTGGTCACCATAATCGAGTTTCGATAAAATGAGGGCTGAATGTAGGCGAAGGAGAGTTCGACGACCAGCTCCCCACGAAAGATGAGCAAGGGTTTTAAGAAGGTTCAGCCGGCTGTGACAAGTTGCCTTCAGAGAGGTAATGTGGGGTTTCCAGGATAACCTACAGTCAAAGAGTAGGCCTAGAAACCTGACTATCATGTTCAGAGATACGGGAGCCATAGAGGTACAAAGGATGA